GTAGGAGCTCTGCTTACCACCTCTATAAGAACTAGATAGGGTGCTCTTACCCATCTCTGTGCTCTTATAGAGTGACCTATTAATAGCACTCTCCCCTCTAGGTCTTTCCTAGGAGCTACCTATCGTGGCGTTAAAGTAAGTTAGATTACTACTATCTTAGGTAGTAAGACCCTAATCTATAACCTGCATAGATCCTTTGTATCCTATACTAAAGTTTAGTTCTAGTGTTAGTTTAGGAGTTTAGAGCCCTGTTAGCTTAGGGGACTTTGCATAGATCCTTTGTGCTAAGCTAGCCATGCTTAGTACCCACGCTAGAGGTGTCTGCTTAGGGGGTTGTGAATTACTAGGCTAGCTAGCCTAATCATCTACCTCCTCTAGCTCTACCCTACCCCCTAGCTCCTGCGCTAGGTTTAGTCCTCCTTGCTTACTAGACTCCTTATGTTACTCTGCCGCAATACAAAGCTAATTAAAGATATTAAGCTCTTTATACGCTTCTCCTGTATCACGGATCTTATCTTTGCTAATAACGTTAACTATCTTTTAAGCTTCTAACTATTAAAGCTGCTCTAGATCTTTCTCTTTATAGAAAAGATCCTTATTAAAGGTAACGTTCCGCGTTGTAATAATCTAATTAAGCAAGGGGATCTATATCCTGTATATGTTAGATGCTCTATATCCCACTAGATATCTAATATAACCCTAAGGGTTTACCTTAAAAACCCTCTTGTGATGCCTAGCTGCTCGATCTTAGTTAAGGGGGTAAGCTTAATAGCTATAGGCGTATATTCTACTCCAATCAGGGCAGAGATTAGTAGTTACCTCCCTTATCTGCTCTAGTTGCCACCACCTAAAGTATCTAGTAAACTAACAATCTAGCACTTTGTTAGGTAATATCATATTGTGAGCATAAGATAGGCTTATATTATAGAGCCAAGTTGCTGCTTTAACAATTTTAGGCTAGAGCTTTGTTAGTAGGTTAGCACTAATCCTCATTTTAATCGATTTTGTTATAATCTCTTGCCCTACTCTTTCTACTCCTCTATTAGGTTCATAGGTATATACAGGTAAGCTCTTAATTTTAATACTATTGTTAGCTGCCCAGATCTAAAAGCGAGATTTGCCACGCTAAGGGAGCGTTGCAACGTCGTTGTCTTGCATAATCTTAACTATACTAAGCTTATATTAGTTAAGTATTAAGCTCTTGAAATTTTTAAACACCCGCATAATCTTATTAAGGTTTTTAGCTTGCAGTAGATAGGTATAAAGCTTTCCTAAGTAGTTGCACTTTAATACTAAGATCTATTGCTTATAAGCTATACCTGTTAGCATGTCAAATAGATCCTATGATACCTGGTAGTATAGACGTAGTAATCTCTCCCTTAGTTGTCTTAATATAACCTGTCAGGCATATGTAATAGCGCAGTGCTCGCATTTGCTCCTAGGAGTTCCTTTAATCCTAATATTTATTACTAACTTAACTAGAGCTTTAAGCGCCTTAGGTCCTAAATAGCCTAATTGTTAGTGCTAAAGCTCCTTACTATCGTGTCTTAGGTAAGTCGTCCAGGATTGTTAGTGTTGTTTAGGCACTATACTTTAGATTATTTAATAAGGGGTAGAGGGCTTATATTCTAGGAAAGTTAAGTTAAACTTGCGCAGTAACTTGGCTAATATAACGCTCTTCTCTAATAATCCAAACTGCAAGGTGGCATCTAGCCTAAGGAACCAAACTCCTGCTTTAAGCAATCGAGCTTCTAATATGATATTCACATGAAAACCTTCTACTAACACCACGTTAGTAAGCACTAAATCTTCTGTTTTTAGACCTCTTGGTCCATTAAGCAGCACGCCTTAGGGATCACTCTAGTCCCTCTGCCTAAGATTAGAAAAGCTTAAGTTCCTACTTTAACCGTCTTATATTTAACTAATCTAAACAAGCTTTCTTCTAGGTAGCTTATATTATTAACTAGGTGCACTGCACCTCTATTGTTAAAGATAGTGCTCTTTAATAGAGCGTAAGCTTTAAAGTCTATGGTTAAATAGATCCTGTTCGTTTTCTCCGCTATTAATATAGGGTTAATTAGTGCCACCTAGATACTGCCTAGATAGGTAATCGTGCTTGCCTCACCACTATAATCTTGATTAATAGGATAGGACTTAATTAGAGCTTTCCTTAACTCTTTAAATTTTTAATTCCTATTAATCCTTTTCTTAATCTCTAATTATTAAGTAGTAGTAAGCTTGTTACCTGTATTAGTCTAAGCTTTAATAACGTTTTTGCATTTAGGAGGTTTCCATAGGTAAGATCTACTGCATAGGCATAAAGACTCCTTCTTTAGTTAATTAGAAGGTGGAGCTCCTATTGTTGCAAATACTCTAGGACCCCTAGAGCTTAATCTTATGTTGTTTTCTTAGAGAAGTAATAAATAGATCTTAGTAACCTGCGGGAGGTTGTATGTTAGCTCTCCTATCACTAACTTTTTAATAATCCTTTAAAACATGGTTTAACCCTAATCTAGTAAGATCCTAGTAGATAGAGCTTTAAGATAATCCTATACTACAAGCTATCCTTTAATATTAGGAACATTGTATACCTTAGCTCGCGTATATAGGATTGTCCACTCCTTTTACTAGCGATTAGCGTCTTAACCGCTTATCTTTGCTTTAGCAAGATAAGCTTTATACTACAATCTTGCTAGTGTTGCAGCGCTTAAATTAGTTAGCGCTAGGTTGTTATAGAGCACTTGGATAAGTGCTTAGAGGGTTACTCTTCCTTGATTAACAAGCTCTATATAGGCTAGGGTAAGGATCCCTTAATCTACTGTATTGTTAACCTATGTGAAGAGGTTCTGGATTACTAATAACTTTAATACCTAATCTAATAAGCGGGCTTGGTACTAAGCTATTTAGAGCTTGTACTGCTCGCTTGTTGTGTTAGATAGCGCGATATTTGTTGGCATGTTAGGCTTAATAGGTTTATTCTTAAAGTAGTTTTTAGTATCTAGAGCCTTAGGGTCTACCTCTACCTAGATCCCTTTAGTTAGGGCATGGTATCTGAATTAAATGTACTAGGTGGGCCAGTTAGTTAATCTAGTAAGTAGGATATCCCCCTTTAGGATTTGGTCGCTTATGGTAGAAGAGTAATAAGTAAGCTTCTGCTTAAGAAATAGTATAAAGAAAGAGTGAAGCTTTGCTAGCTTAGTGTCCAAGTTGAACAATACGCTTAAATAGATAGGACGATCTTTAATAAGGTAAAGCGCGAACTAGGCTTATAACTATAGAAAATTAGATTACTAAGGTTAGGAATAATTTAGGAGATGGATTATTGGATTGTATCTACTACGATTGGACTTATATATATAGAGCTTCAGCTACCCTTACCAGAAGGTGAATGATTAGTAAACCTTCCTTACCAGAGCTCCTGCTTTTTGTTGGGCGCTTGGCAGTGAGCTGGCAGTTGATCAGATAGTGGGTCATACAGGGGTATTGATCGGGATTGATCGGATCAAGATGCTCCGTGATCCGGTTGATATCCCTCCTGCAACACTAATCTAATAAGCGGGCTTAGTACTAAGCTATTTAGAGCTTGTACTACTTACTTGTTATATTAGATAGCGCGATATCTGTTAGCATATTAGGCTTAATAGGTTTATTTTTAAAGTGGTTTTTAGCATCTAGAGCCTTAGGGTCTACCTCTGCCTAGATCCCTTTAGTTAGGGCATGGTATCTAAATTAAATATACCAGGTGGGCTAGTTAGTTAATCTAGTAAGTAGGATATCCCCCTTTAGGATTTAGTTACTTATAGTAGAAGAGTAATAAGTAAGCTTCTACTTAAGAAATAGTATAAAGAGTAAAGCTTTCTAGCTTAGTGTCTAAGTTAAACAATACGCTTAAATAGATAGGACAATCTTTAATAAGGTAAAGCGCGAACTAGGCTTATAACTATAGAAATTTAGATCACTAAGGTTAGGAATAATTTAGGAGATAGATTATTAGATTATATCTACTACAATCGTACTTATATATATAGAGCTTCAGCTACCCTTACTAGAAGGTGAATAATTAGTAAACCTTCCTTACTAGAGCTCCTGCTTTTTGTTAGGCACTTGGCAGTGAGCTAGCAGTTAATTAGATAGTAGGTTATACAGGGGTATTGATTGGGATTAATCGGGATTGATCGGGATCAAGATGCTCCGTGATCCAGTTGATATCCCTCCTGCAACAAAAGGGTTTATAATATAAGGTAAAGGGGGGTAGAGGTAGTAGGTTATTAAAACTAGCAGGCTTAGAGGGGGGTTAGGATAGAATCTAACTGCGTATTTCCTTATTTTACTAGCGTAGTATAGCTATTATAGCAGAGTCTTAAGCCTATTATTCTATTAATCCTTAGACCTACTATATTAGCCTTTCTACTATATTAGGTTACACCTAATTATTCTAAATATCTAGCGCGTCTATCTCTATTACTATTATAGTATATTTAGAAGAAGATACTAAAATATTATAGACTAGCCTTAAGGGAGAATGCAATAAGCGTTAATAATAGTATTTAGTATCTTAAAGGAGAGATAAGCCCTCTACGCCTTTTTATAGGTGTCTAGTGTGTTCGCTTAGTAGTAGTGTTGGACTCTGTCCATCTTTATGTTAGGCCTAGGCTTAGGCATAAGCCCAAGCCCTTTACATATAAAAGGATAAGAAGAATATGCCTATCCTAATTATAGGCGAGCTGCTCTCTATATACATTAGTGAGTCAGGCCTTTGTTAGGGCTAACTTGGCATGGAACAATAGGCGCACAATTCTGCCCTATTGTTACAAGTCTATAACATATATCACATTCATTCTCATGAATGACCTAGATGAAGAATTCTCCAACCCAGCAATTAATGACTTTTCATTACGGGAGAACTTCACAAGGGAACATGAAAACTAGATGCAAAGACACAAGTATACCACCTTCTGTATCACCGACCCCACCACCCAAAATAAACCGCGTTTCGATACCTAATCAAGAAATCCCATTCCCCTCCATCCTTCTACAAACCTCCTAATCAACGCATCCTCCACACCCAAAACCCCACTTAACGTCGCGGAATGGCCTCTCGCGCCCCTCGTCCCCATCAACAACCCCCCACAACTCATTCTCACAAAATGCTCCTCCAGAAAATCCACCAGCAAGTACGCGGGATTCCTCCCCTCGGCCCGATTATCCTCGACAATCTTCCAATCCCTCACCCGTCCCACCCACTCCTCAAACGGGATAATCCCGCTCCCATCCCCCGCAATGCCCAAAGCATCCGCCAGCACGGACAACATGTGCGACCAGGGTTGGCGCACGGGATTCTCCACATGGTAGATTGGACGTAGTTTAACGTCCCCATGTTGCATGCAGATATCCAGCACCGTGCCCGCGACATCATCGGCGGTCGTCCAGCCCGCCGTGCCGGGGAGATTCGGCAGTGCGCCCAGCGTCTGCGATGACTTGACAAGAAAGGAAACATGTTCCATGGGATTCCAGTGACCGTTGCGCGCACTACCTGCTATTTGGCCGAGGCGCAGGGCCGCGGCTCGGAAACGGGTTGGGTGAAGATGGAGCGTGGCGTCAAGCATGCGCTCGCAGATGTATTTTGCCTCACCATAGCCTGTGGGAAGGACACTGGCAATGGGCACGCGGGATTCGGGGACGATAGGAGAGTGAGTGTGAAGTGGATGGTAGCCGATAGTTGCAATGGAGGAGATGAAGAGGAAGGTTAGTGGAGGGGATGGGGGAGGGCGCTGCAGCGAGATGGCACGTGCGAAATGTAGGAGGTGCGACATTATTTGGAGTTGCGGATTGAATCGCTTCAGGGTCCATTTAGAGTGCATCAACCAGGCGTTGTGGATGATGTGGGTTCCGTGGTTGAGGAGGGAGGCGTAGATGTTGGTGGGAAGGCCAAGCGTAGAGGGCTCCGAGAGGTCGGCTGCGTACACTTGTAGTTTTACCAGAGACGTTGGAGATAACTCGATTCCCTTTTTACGGAGGGCATTCAGCTGTCGTTCAAACGCGTCTTGTTTGCTTCGACGGTTGAGACATATGACGCGTTCCACCTCTGGTTGAATTGCTGCTTCTGCGACCAAGTGCGCGCCTAGACCACCAGTGCCGCCTGTGATTATGATCCATTTACCTCGTGATCTGTCATTTGGTGATTCTGTACTCCAGGAGACGTGCTTCTGAGAGAAGTCTCCAAAATCTTTTGTCAAGTCGTGGACATATTTTGTGACGACTTCTTCTCGCTCTGCACAGCTTGTCGAGTTGCCTGTCTTGAATCGGTAGTCTATGGCAGTCGGATTTTGAACTGAATGGCCAAAATTAAAGCCTGACCTAGAAAATAGTCAAAATTTGAAGAAATAGAGACGGCAGGGGAGTTGTATCCCGAGACAATTGTGCAGCGACGGCTTTTTGTACATATGACTGGTCCAGTGTATTCTCAAAGATGAGGTGTACTGCAATGAGATCTATTTTAACCTGTGAGACTTAAGTGCACCTACAAATTCGTCGAATCAGCTGCAGCCAATATCAACTTCTCAATCTCAGTCTCTGGCCTCATGCCCTCGGTCCAATCCACGCGACCGTATCCCACGGCTTGCAAGTCCGTCTCCCATCTTGACTCGTGCGTCAAAGCATGCCGACGACCATCATCAAACAACCACCAGCCTTCAAAGAGACCAAAGATTATATCAACCCAATAGGGAGTCCTAGTCATCTCGCCCATGAGAAGAAATCCGTCAGAACGGAGAAATTTGCGTACATTCTTTGTACTCTCGCGGATAGAAGACGTCGCATGAATGGCATTACTTGCAAGCACAAAGTGTTGGGAGTTGACCAAATCCTCTTCCGGTGCTTTATTAATGTTGTGGACTCGGAATCTCATCCAGGGATACAATTTTCCCCACTTCTTGCGCGCTGCGCCTACGAAAGATGGCGCCAAGTCGGTGAAGGTATATTCGATCGGCATCTGCAACTGCGCTAGTAAAGGTACGACTTTTTTGGTAGTTCCCCCGGTGCCAGCTCCCATCTCCAAGATACGTAGGGGTCTATTGCCTTGGATAGCTCGAAGCTTTTGGGCCATTCGTGTGAAGAAGTCCTCCATTTGTGTGTAGAGCACCCGATTCAACGGCCACTCGCCGTAGAAAGTACTGACGAGCTTGCGACCCTCAGCGGTACCAAAGATAAGCTTCACGCCCGACGTCTCACCCGACAGCACTTGTTGTAAGTGTTTGCCCGCATAATACGTTAACTCATCGGCAGAATGCTGATCTGGGAACCGTTGGCGAAGATCTTCATAAACGTTTGCACTGCTTCTTTGCCACAATGGAATCGCAGTACGGGTGATGATATCGCCATCTATCTTGATGATCTGTGTTTCCGACTCCAGCATATCATATAGATAGTCCACAAAGGATGCGTGGTCCTTGTCATGGGCTATGCGTGAGAGTCGTTCGCCCGGCCGAGCATGTCGAAGGCCAGCTCCCAGTCCGTCAAATGCCTCGAGTGTCAAGGACACTGCAAGTTCATTCTGTAGAGGTAAGGCGTCAGAGACGTAATGTTCTTGACCCATGTTCAGCACGTGCTCATCTGTGAGCTCCTTCATCTCGTTAAAGGCTTCTAGGACAATGCTTTGTGGCATTTTAAGCTCGTGTGGATCAATGGCTTGATATTCGTCCGTATCCACATCTGACCGAGGTGCCGGCGTTGTTACATTGGTAGGGACTCTAGCCATATTGGAAGAAGACGCGATGCTGGGCACATCATTATCTAAGGAGGAGCTGTCGTTCGCATCGAAATCCGTTCCTATTACTCCAGTCACGACTTTCATCAGGTCACGCATGGTGACTACGACTAGAACCTCGTGCTCCGGGAGTGTCACCTGTAGAGCTGCTTCAATCTCATGCACCATCTGCATGCCGGCTAGCGAATCGATACCCAGGTCTGCGAGTTCGCAATTGTCGTCAATCTTAGTGACTTCCACCCCCGACAGATCTGCGATGACGGCTTTTACTCTCTCTCTAAGGTCATCTTGAAGAGTATGGTCGGCTAGCTGGGGTGGTTGGCTTTCATCAGAGGGTCTAGGTTCCCGCGGCGATAGCACTGGGATCTGCGCGTGGGCGGAGGGCAGGTTGAGGCTCTTTGGAACACTGGGAGGAATCGGTGCATGGATAGGGCTAAGTACAGCTGAATTTGCAGCTGGACCTTTCAGCCATCCAGGCTCAGTCAAGCGGGTGAGCATCTTTTGCATGGATTGCTTGGGTATTTTGACGTATGTGATGCCGAGAATGACCTCTACCAAGGCACCGACTTTAGCATCAAAAACAAAGACATCAGTTACAGAGAGCTTGTCGGACGGACGATGATGTGTTGCAAAGACGTGATACTCCGTAGACGCTTCGGTCATTGATCCTGGTGTACGTGTTGGACGGGGTGAGCGGATCCATTGATCGATACTGTTCGCAAGATATACGTCGCTCTGAGATCGATCCGTCATGCAGTTTACCCACAGACCGCCTAGCTGGCAGAATGTATCAGCGAGGTGGGCGTCAAACCAAGCTGTCCGTTCACGTGTTGGCTTCTTACGGACAACATGACCTGCTGAGTCATGCCCTTTTGCGACCATCTTTTGCAGTCCGCGGTACTCTTCGCCATATTCAACAATCTCGGAGAAGATGCGGTATATGTTTCGGTTGGTGAGTATCTCGTCGACTTCGGCGCTCTGCAGAAGATTGACCGCACGATGGTGACCAAAAAGCCGCTCGAAATGAACGATCTGACGACGTATTGTCGCATCGCTTCCATGGCCGAACACAATTTTTCCAGTCGTATGTATGGTGCGCGACTGATGATGACTCTCGGTACTGAAAACCTCGAACTGCCACTCAAGTGATCCTGCTGTGTCATTGTCGATCTCAATCCATGTCTTGCGCGACGAGTTCGCGCAAACGGGAGATCGGTACTGGACGTCTTGCATCTGCGGCTCATGCTGGTCCCGGAGTTGAGGTCGGATTGTACCAATAGCTTCAATCACAAAAGATATTTGTATGGTAGCAGGACATATGGGCGCCGTCTGTATGGTCAGGTGTCCGGAGAGAAGAGAGTTGTATTCCTCACTTGTCGTGTTGATGAGAAATTGGGCCCGCTTCTGGGCTGAACCATCTAGGAAGCCAAAGAATATCAACAGTCCTTCCGGTTGCTTGTCATTGTCATTTTTGGAGTCGAGGTCTTTTGATTCCGCAAGTTCTTTAGGGAAGGACTTTAAATCCATCCAGTGTCGCGCGTTTGGGTCAAACTGGTATGGTGGTAGAAGTAGAGGCTCCATAAGTGTATGGTATCGCCGCTGTCTTGCGTTGTGCGCCCAGTGCTGGACGGTCATACCAGCCTTCCAGAGGGACATTGTGGTCTCAGTCAACTTATTCCAACCATCATAAGTATTGGCTATATTGAGTCCATGAAATGTGCTGGATCCCTTTGTAATTGAACCGTCCAACGCCCGTGAAGCCATGGCCGTGATGGTAGAGTTTGTGCCTGCTTCGAGAAAGAGGTGATGAGAAAGGGGATTACGGTGTATTATACGTTCTAGAGCGTGGTGAAAGTAGACAGGTTCGCGCATGTGATGTGCAATTGATTTTGTTGACCAATTTGGCTCAGCCGTGCTTAGAGCTCGTTCCAGAGGGATCACAGGCTTGCGAAAAACCAAGTCTTCGCAACTGTTTTCAAGGAGGGGAAGAATTGGCTCTACGAGCACAGAGTGGAATGCGTTTGTTACGTTCAGTCTTCGACTTTTGATGGTTCTGCTGGGTTGGGCATGAAGCCGAACATCGACCGCATCGATAGCATGGGTGGGACCAGCAATGGTAAAGCTTCGCGGTCCATTAAAGCACGCAATACTCACAGGTGCGCCCGAAAGGTTGCTGTTGACTTCAGACAGAAGTGTCTGCACGACACCAAGATCGCCTTGGACGGCCATCATGGCTCCTTGGTCAGGACCCCAGGAATCTCGTACGATGGCAGCTCGACGGGCAATCATCTTGACAGTATCCTCCAGAGACAGTACGCCTGCTGTACAGAGTGCAGTGAGCTCGCCAAAGCTATGACCGACCAATACTGTTGGGCGGATGCCCGAATCCATCCAGGCTTGGGCACAGGCGTACTGCAGAGCAAAGAGCATCGTCTGAAGTTGGACAGTATCAGCTACACGGTCACGTTGGAATATGGCCGGGAATATAGACTCGTATCCTAGCGAGCGGATGACAGTGTCAACATGGTCGAGGTGTCTACGCACTAGGCCAACGCTGTTGTAGACATCGGGGTCAAGGCCAATGTGAGTCGATAGTTGACCGCCAAAACAGAGGACAATCGTCTGGTCCAACGCAGCGCTTTTGACAGAGGTAGCAGGCGTGATGCCATGGCCCTTGTCGCACGCGGCCAATTGCTGATCCAGCTCGGTGAGATTGGCAGCGGTGAAGGTGATGCATTGTTCCAAAGTACGGTCACTCTGACGGGCAAGATGGTAAGATAGGCTGGCAAGGGAGGGAGAGGAAGAGACAGAAGGAGAAGCAGATGGGTTGGTGAAGCGTGCAAGGAAGCGTCTCAAGGCCTGGGCGCGACGACCAAGGCTGCTTGCGTCCAACCCACTGAGCCAAAACGGGTACCGCCTCCGGTGAGGGTCTGATGGAGGCGCCGTAGCCGTAGCCGTAGCCGTAGCCGTAGCCGTAGCCGTAGCCGTAGCCGTAGCCGTAGCCGTAGCCGTAGCCGTAGCCGTAGCCGGCACAGGAGCGCGGCCAACGGTGTCCAAGGCCGGTGCCTGCATCACAACCAGAGACGCATTGGATCCCGAGGCGCCGTAATTGTTGACGAGGGCGACGCGAAAGTCGGCCGCCCATGGCTGTGCACGGCGCGGCACGAACATGTGGTCACTGGGCTGTGCATGGAGCGCCGGATGGAGGGTGTCGAAGCTCGCCTGTGGCGGCAGGACGCGCTTGTTGAGCATGAGCAGCACCTTGACCAGGCTGATGATGCCAGACGTGCACTCGAGATGGCCGACGAGCCCCTTGGTGGAGCTCACCATGAGCGGAGGCTCGGGCGGGCGGTTCGGCCCGGCCAAGACCTGCCGGATGCTGGCCCACTCGGCCGGATCGCCGACCGCGGTGCCGGTGCCGTGTGCTTCGACGACGGAGATGCAGGCCGGCGTGACGTGTGCTTTGGCGGCGACGGTGGCGAAGAGGGCCGACAGCGAAGGTGTGTTGGGCACGAAGAGCGGCGTGCCGTTCTGGTTCTGCTGCACGGCCGTGGCCCCGATGACGCCCAGCACCGGGTCCCCGTCCGCCATCGCCTGGCTCAGCTTCTTCAACAGGACCGCCCCGACGCCCTCGCCGCGACAGTAGCCATCCGCGGCGGCATCGAAGGGCCTGCACTGCCCCGTCCGGCTGAGGAAGGAGCCGGCGGCCAAGTTTTGGAACCAGGCGGCCGTCGTCATGACGTGCGTGCCGCCCGCCAGCGCCGCGTTGCATTCACCCGCCAGGAGTGCGTTGCATGCCTGATGCACGGCCACCAGCGAGGAGCTGCACGCCGTGTCGATGGTGAGTGCTGGCCCCGTCCAGGCCAGGAAATGGGCCAGCCTGCCGGCCACAAAGCCCTGCAGGTTGCCGGTCGCCGTGAAGGCGTTGGCAGCGTGGCAGGCGGCATTGGACGCGTAGTCTCCCACGCACACGCCCACAAAGCAGCCAATGTTGGCGTCGCGCTCGCTGGGCGGGCGTGCAAAGTAGCCTGCCTGCTCGGCGGCTTGGTAGGCCACTTGCAGCAGCTGTCGCTGTTGGGGATCCATGGCCGCGCTCTCCCGCGCGCTCTTCTTGAAGAAGCGGTGGTCGAATTGGTCATGGCCCTGCAAGAGGTTGGCAAACCATTTGCGTTGCCCGTGGCTGCCCTGTCCGCCTGTCGTGCGAAAGGGGGTGTCGTCAAAGGAAAAGCGGGCGGACGTGGTGATGTCGCGGTGCTGCGACTGGCCCTTGACCAGAAGCTCCCAGAACTCGTCCACGTCGTCCGCCCCGGCTGTCTTGCAGGCCATGCCCACCACCGCGATGTCCGTCTCCCTCCACATTCGCTCTGGCCGGGAGGCCTTGGCTCGGGACGGCCGTCGTTGGGCTTGGTCACGTGCTTGGTCACGTGCTTGGTCACGTGCTTGGCCACGCCGCATGTGCCCATCCACCGCCTGTACCACCCGCACACGCGGCTGTGTCGCCACCGACAAGGGCACACTGCGCTCAGACCCAAAGGAGAGAATGCGGGTGATGGAGTCGCAGTCGTCGTCGTCGTCGACATGGCCAAGCGCGGCCGTCACTCTATCGAACCAAGGCGCAGGCTCGACGAGGATCTGTTGGAGAGCGTCGACGTGGGACCTTGCTACCCACTGTACCCGTCCCGGTCGCGCGCCCTGGCCACGGCCTTCCTTCACTCCCTCCTCGCCCGCTTCCCCTCTGAACTGGAATTCGGCGTGGGCTTCACAAAACGCCACGAGCTCGTCCAGAACGGCCGAGTGGCGGGCGGCCGAGTGGAAAGCCCCGTAGAGGCCGATGACGGTCGCACTCAGGCCTGCGGCTGCGAGTCTAGGGACCAGACTGGGCAGCGAAGCAACTGGCGTCGTGATTGTCCGCCGACACTCGTCATAGTATACCGACACGTACGTCTGTTGGCAATGGTCAGCATAGAACCGTCAGCAAGGGTGGAGGGGAGAGCTTACCTCTTCATAGTCCACCAAGATGCCTTGCAGCTCTTCCTCTCCCTGCTTCCCGCTCCAGGCAACACTGAGAGATCGCCATCGTCCCCCTCCAAGTGCTGCGTCCTGGCTGTCGACGACAAGGCCAATCAGCAACCCCAATCGTACGGCCGCTGCACCATTTTGCTGGAATTCAGCCCAGCTACGCGCAGTGGAGACGGCGATTGCACTCAGGATCCCAGTGCAGAGACCCAGACTTTGTGTGTCCCTGTTGCTTCTTGGCCAGTCATCCCGCCTGCTACCTCTTTGCACGCCTATCTCACGGGCGAAACTGGCGTATTGGCTGAGCTGATCGATGACGACAAGAGGTATCAAGACGCTATTGGGAAGTGGCAAGGCCATGTCCAGAGGCCGGCCACCCATAACGGCTCCATGAAGGTCCGCTAGCTGCTCGCGGGCCACATGGCTAGACTCATGAAGCGAGGCTACTTCCAAGAGGATAGATTCTAGAGTTTGGGGGAGCTGGCGAACCACGTCGACAAGCCAGGCATGTTTGTCATCTTCGAGGACGGCGCTGCGTACCTGCGCGAATGCTGCGGCATCAAACGAGAGGGAGAGGGAGCCGAAAAGGTGGATACATCGTTCTGGCCGCCTCCGAGGTAGGTTGCTATCGTCTTCTGCCATTTCTAGCTCGTGGCATGCATGTTCGGGATGGTTGGCAATCGCTTCAGATGAACGTGACTCGACGGTACCGTACAAGTATCCTGTTGCAGCTCAGCGGACACAAATCGCAATGTAACGTTTGCGACTTTTGTTTGCACCACAGCCGGCCTTTGAATAGTAAATGCTCCGTCAAAGACCACGTAGGTCTGGGTGCCTGATCTCGCTGTTAACTTGCTCTAACATTCTCGGCAGACTTGCGGTCAACCCACTCAAAGCAAATCGAATAATTCGCGCTTGCAATTTTCACTTTTCTTTTTCTTTACTTTTTTCTTAAACACGGTTATTATTACATGCTTTAAAATCTCATTTGCCAAGAGCAGATGGCAAGCAATATGCAGTGCAACCAGCTCATGGTGAAGATGTTGGATGGTAGTACATCCACGTGAATTATCGTCGAGAAATATCCCGGCTGACATATTCAACCAGTGCTGTCACGTCGTTGCCACGATGATTACTCTCACCACTTATCATATAGCAGCCCCATTATTTATTGGGCTCTAGTTCACTATCACGATCGAACATTGGCGTCAAGACATTTGTGGACTTCGAATTTCGAACCTAACACTAGGTACTGTGACCGATAATCAGATCCTGGTTCTCCACATCTGATTCCCCTTGGCTATCCATGCCTTTCCCCACTCATCTGGTCCACAAATTGCTATCGTTGCTGGTGGCATCGTTGGAGTGATGCTTACCCTCGGCTTACTTCGCCAGATCATCTCGGTGCGCTTGTTCGAGCAATCGTCTGGGTTTCGCGAGGTTGGCGCAGGGATCGCCTTCTCGGCATGCGCACGTCAATGCAGTGCGTACTCTGCTTTCCTAATACCTATCATTGTACAAACAACTCATCATATCCTCCTCCTCCTCCCTCAGACTTGTCCGTTTTTAAGATTTTTCACTAGCCTCGAACGATTTCGCGTTGCTGACATGAATAAGAGCTGATACGATCAAGCAGTGGAGTTGATAGACCCGAGCATTATTGAAGCCCTTAAACGCTGTGGAGCCGTGTCCGTATCTGATAGTTAAGGCGGCTGATGAAGATGATCACCTGCGCTGGATAGATGGGTACAACCAGCACTGCGCTGGAGATCCTACCTACCAAAAGCCGCTAGCTGAGATTGGTGGTAGTGGTGTTCATGGTTGCCGACGCGATCAACTTCTGGAGGAACTCGCAAAATATATTCCACCGGGGTTGATCGCGTTCAACAAGCGCTTGGACGAGTTACAGCAGGAGAGCGACGGGAAAGTATTCCTCGGCTTTGTCGACGGCTCAACATTCGAGTTCGATGCCGGTATGACACTGAAAGATATCCACATGCTGGTTCGCCTAGTTGTTGGAGCTGACAAGATACAGTCATCGGTTGCGACGGCAGCAAATCGCACGTTCGTCAATGCCTCTTGGGTGCCAGCCACCCCGCCTCATTCCCACAGTACACACATAAAGTAGCATACCAGAGGCCTGATACCCATGGATCGTGCCATTGAAGTCCTTGGCAGATGGAAGGCGAACAATTTCCACCACCATGTTGGCCCCGGAGCACATCTAACACATTATCCAGTCGCCAACCACACCGCCCTTAACGTTGTCGTCTTTCTTTCTGATCCCAGCCCCTGGCCTGACGCTAGGACAATGGTTGCCAAGGGCACACGTCTTGAAGTAGAAAAGGCGCTGCAAGGATGGCATCCCACTGTTCTCGGCGTCGTTAGTCTTCTGCCCGACGAGCTTTCCAAATGGGCGCTTTTTGACCAGGGAGAATATCCGCTGCCATGCTACAATAAAGGAAGCGTGTGTCTGGCTGGCGATGCTGCTCATGCAAGTAGTCCGCATCACGGAGCTGGTGCATGCCTTGGCGTAAGTACCCTATCTCCCATCTGCCCAACTACCGCGAGGTGGGCCAATCTGGTCGCTGAATCAATGTGCCAACTATAGGTCGAAGATGCGCTCTGTCTCACCACCCTGCTCTCGCAGATCCGCACCACTCTCGAGCGCCCTGATTACGCCACCAAAGCCAAAGGACCGTCCATGAGGCAGCTTCTCGCAACCGCATTTGAGTCTTTTGACTCAATCCGGCGCACACGCACACAATGGCTTGTAAATCGCAGCAATCGCGTTTGCGACCTCTATCACCAACAGGAGTGGGGTGGTCCGATGCGTCAAGTCAAAGCGGAGACTTGTTTTGAAGGAATCCGGGATCGGTCGTACAAGATTTGGCATTTTGATGTCGAGGATATGGTCGGCCAGAGTAAGAGGGCGTTTGAAATGAAGGTTTTTTGAAGCTTGTTAGTAGATGAAGGTTTATTGGATTGTGATTTTTTTTATTGTAGGTTGGGTGGCTATGGTTTAGGATGAATGGATACTCGATATGTTATACCCGAAATGGGGTGGCATTATATGTGCTTTCACATGGGATTTAGATACGAATGAGATACCGAGGTACGTTGAAGTTGAATGAATACCCGGGGCTTCTACTTTAGATAGTCTTGTCTATATGCAAATACCTAACGGATGCGCATAGCATTCACTCAGATTCCAACCACTTTGTGCCTGACATGGAGCGAAGCCAACTTCACAACCTTTCACTCAGCTTTGATCGACATCAGTGTCGCACGTGGCATTGCAGGGAAGCCCTTTTAGGCTTAGTGAAGGTGATTTCATCAAGTGGTCACGGACTCACGGTGATTAAATGGCCAAACAGCAGGGATAGAGGAACAAGTCCCCGGTTATGCTCGATGTAGTGCGGTTAGCTAAGGCAATATCCGAAAGCGATGTACTTTTAGCGTCCAAGGTTATAATGAATGGAAAAGAGATTTCTCACTTGATCTACATTAATCAATGCGAGACTTTGTGACTAGAAAACGGAACCATGGGAATGATGATGGGCTTACAGGTATGCGCCGCAGTGGTTCAGGCACCATGCTCGCATAGTACTTGAGTGAGCAATGAGAAGCGGAATCTTACCTAAGCTTCGGTCTGTTTTAAGAAGAAATAATCGCAATGGAGTTATGGTAAGTAAGCCCTGCTGCCAGTACATGTAGGCTACTAATCATGACCAGGCCCGTGCCTACTGTGGCCAACACGCAAAAACAGATTCAAGAGGTCTGATTGATGCATACATACATTTGCATCTTGTTTTTTTATTGACTACCACATGTACCGGTATTTGTCAGAGTCTTTTCCACCCAGATCGTTTCTTCAAGGTGATTCTTGCATTTCTTAGTAGTCATCAGCCTGTTCATCACTGAATACGCGTATTGCATCAATTATTCACATTACTTCCAACACGAAGGCAAGCATCTCACATCATATTTTTCTCGACGCCCATCCCCACAAATCCTCGAATCAATATGTCACACAAAATGCCGCGTCCCTCATCAGCCGACGTCCACGAACACCATACCGCTCACCAAACCACCCACATCCCCATCTACCCCTTCCCGTCCCCCTCTCTCGACCACGACCCATCCCCATCGCCCCCAAGCGCCCATACCGACCAGCCCGATGGTGGCTCAACGGCCTGGCTCCAAGTCCTTGGCGCATGGATACTCTTCTTCCACACCTGGGGCGCCATGAACACCTTCGGCGTCTTCCAAGCCTACTACGAAAGTGGCATTCTCTTCCAGCGCTCATCGTCGGACATTGCATGGATTGGCTCGATCCAGACATTCTGCCTGCAGAGCATGGGGCTGGTCGCGGGCCCGATTTACGATCGCGGCGGGTTCAGGGCGTTGATTGGGGTGGGGAGTCTGGGGATTGTGGTGAGGTACGTGGTGTTGAGTTTTGTGAGTCAAACTGGACTTTTGTGGAGGAAATATCTTTTGCTGATACGATTCTTTGATGATTTACTGTCGGGAGTTTTGGCAGGTCTTGTTGGCGCAGGGCTTCCTTATTGGTGTGGCAGAGGGATGTTTGTTCACGCCCATGATATCGATTTTACCGACGTATTCCAACACAAGACTGGGACTGGCTACTGGAATTGCGTCTTCGGGATCTTCGATGGGGGTCGTGGTGTATCCTATTGTGATAAAGGCGCTCATGTACAAGATTGGGTTTTCCTGGACGACGCGGGTGTTGGGCTTGATGGCGATGAGCATGCTTATAATTCCAGTAGTGGTGATGAGGGAGCGGCGCAAACCTGCAGCCAGATTACGTCGGGATCTGATCGACAGATCTGCGTTTACAGACGTACCGTTTGTTATTTTCGTACTTGCGACGATGATTGGGTTTATTGGTTTGACGGTCGCCCTATTCTATCTTTCGCTGTCTGTGCTGGTGAATCACCTCGCTGATGAGGATCTGAGCTTTAATGTACTCTCGCTGTACAATGCTGCGTCTGTTTTTAGTCGCATTGCACCGAACATCCTGTCGGACAGGGTGGGACAATTCAATGTTATCACGCCGTGTGCGCTCGTCACCGGGATACTCTTGTTCTGTTTGGCGTCTCTTCGTCCCGGGAATGTTGGCGCAGTGATAAGTCTCACTATCTTGTGGGGTTTCTTTGGCGGCGTGTTTGTGGCTATTCCTGGTGCCTGCTTTCCGCGTCTAACCAAGGGTAAGAGTAGGCTTGGTACGCGTGTTGGGATGGGATTCAGTGTGATCGGCTTTGGTATGCTCATTGGAGGTCCTGGTGCTGGGCGGATACTGGATCCCAGTGCGAACTCGGACGCAGAGCTGGATTTTGTGAGCCTATGGATGTTTGGAGGTGTGGTGACTGTAGTTTCTGGGTTTTTGTATCTTCTTGTTCGACTTCTATTGACTGGGCGGAAACTTATGGTCAAGGCATGATTGCAGGCTTCTCTGGGACACGATCTTTCGCAAAAAAAGCATTTCTTTAATCAAGTTCCTTCGCAGTGGATTCATAACTCTTGCATTTTCAAAGCAACACAATTTCCACGGCCTTTTACTCTCCATGGTACATCGGGAAATCTATTGAAATCTAAAGAAACATATCAACATTGCAATGAATTGCTAGCATCATTGTCCATATCCATATGATCCAAAAACACCTGGGCCTATCCTACTTTCACAACCCCATCCTCACTGCGCACAAGAACGGGATAAGAGTAGCATGTTCCATATCCCAAACCCCAAAAGCGACAAACGGGTCTTCGCTCAAGTACCGGTAAGTGCGGAGTTCAACTTCATTTTCGACTTTCCACACCATAATGCTACCCTTTTGAACCAAGACGTTGGAACCAGCATCTTTCGATTGCGCAATCATTGGTCATGATAAGACTATTCGAGCTGCTATTATATGCGTCTTGTTGTGAGCAGTGTGTGCTGATGCGTTGCCTTGGCGAGCGAGCACAGCTTCACGAGTGTCGAGGTCGGGGATCTGAACTAGCCAGTTATGTTCGAAGGCCATTGGGAGGACGACTGTGTGAAAAAATTGTGGAATTAAATGAAGATGAATCGTGGGAGGCGCGATGAGGCTGAGATGGTGTCTTGGGATTTCAAAGTTCTGAACAGCATGGGCTGGTGCGACAGATGCAATGTGAGCGCAGATAACGATACGAGATGCCGGTGAATGAGATGGTGGCCATACCTGTACACCAGTTGGGCAGATCTGCATCTCAATGCTGTTTCTGAGGACAATAAACCGAACCATATTTATCATAATAGGTATGGTAGCGCTGTCCTTCGTTAACGGAACATTTACGGAGCATTTCCAGCTATCATCAAATGGGAAATGTGACTTCAGGCTAGATTTCCGGTACGCATTTTGACTACTTGGTATGCACTAGGTTATATGTCTTGTACAGTAATGTTGCATATTCCATTACTTTGTATCCACACAAATGCTTCCCTTTATGGCCAAGAGGCCTTTGATACCGTTATAAATAGATAAAACCATCTAAACCAACTATCCACAACTTTTTCAGCGCCCAAATCTCCACCATGAGCCTCGTTGAACATAAATGCGTTGTCCTGATCACGGGCGCCAACACCGGTCTGGGTAAGAAGGCTGTTCGTAAAGACGTCAAGGAACCTGGCTCAGCATTGTAATCCATCGATAGGCTTCGAGACTGCCAAAGCCCTCTTTGCACGCCCTGAATCATACCACATTCTCATCGGCTATCGTGGTCGAATCAGCCGCGCAGAGGATGCAATAGCAAAACTGCGAAAACTCTCTCCCGAAAGTGGCAGCAGTGCGCAGCCACTGCTGATCGATATCTCATCGGATGAATCTCTCGCTGCGGCTCACGCGCAGGTGCAAGAAGAAATTGGGTTTATTGATGTCTTGGTAGACAATGCTGGTGCGTCTACTTTTGTTTCAGGCATGTTTCAGTCTTTCTTGTCGAGTAGTTGCTCTGACGAGGGCTCACTGCCACACCAGGCGCCGATTTAGACACGGCTGTGTCCGCTGGACGTTTAACAAAGCGCGAGGCTTGGAATCAGACCTGGGATGTTAATGTTACGGGCACACAGCTCTTCACTGAGACATTTGTCCCGCTTTTGCTGGCCTCGAAGATCATGTCACCGCGCCTACTCTTCTTCACTAGCGGTTTGTCCTCTATTACTGAGCACGCAAGCGGTTCCAGTCCGCGGTATGCACTTGCACCGGCCGGGTGGCCCAAGTCGGAGACATTTTTTCTGGCCTATCGCTCGAGCAAGTGTGGGCTCAATATGGTTGCAGCAGAATGGGCGCGGGTCTTGCGCAACGATGGAGTCAAGGTTTTCGACATCTCGCCGGGATTTTTGAACACCGGATTGGGCGATGATAGGAACTCAGCAGAACGGAGGGACAAGGGGGCTTTGGGTGCGATCAATCCGGCTATTGGAGGTGAATATTGTGCCGACGTTGTTGAAGGTAAACTGGATGAGCAGGTCTGGCCTATCAAGGCACTGAGAAGGACTATGGTGCAACCCTGGTAAGGATATCGGGGCCCTTTAATCTTTGAAGCTATGAATTCCTATCATATATGACATCTTACGATCTCCAACTAGACATCATGCCAATTCCTGTTAAAATCAAACCATTCACGACGTAACATAGTATACTCCTTGAGACAACCTAAGCCAAATACCGCATTCTTTAATCAGTCGACAAAAAGAAAACTCGAACATAATTTTACATGACAAGTTACATTCATGGCGTTTTTCGTGCGCAGAAATATTCGCCGTTACCAGTATTTTACGAAAAGAAAAATCACCGACAGGACAACGACTTCAAAATGCCCAGCCGGACTAACAATCTTGCTTGGAAGTGTGCGTATGGAAACGGGAACACCCAAAACTTGTCTCTTGCTATTCAAGTAGTTGTGCTATTCTGTTTCTTTCAAGAAACTGACCACTTTGGCTGCTGCAATGTCAAAGCTCCTACGGCAGCGCAGACTTTAAGGAGCAAGGTTGACATTCTTAGAGAAGCAAGCAAGCCAGCAACATAATTATACCCTACCATACCACCACGCACTGTACCTAACTTCATCCCAAGTCATCCATCATGATCACCAGCAGATCCCCACCCTTAATTCCCACAATCGACATATCGCCCCTACTCTCCACCACCGCACCGTCCTCCGTGCGCCAAGCCGTCATAACCCGCATGAGCGACGCCGCCCACACCTACGGCTTCTTTAACTTGACCGGACATGGCATCCCACAGTCCCGCCTCGCAGAAGCACTCATCCTGAATCAAATGTTCTTTGCGCTGTCCGAGGCCAGCAAAATGGAAGTTGCGATTGAGAAAAGTGTGGGACGGGCATTTAGGGGGTACGAGAGACCGGGGATACAGACGCACCAGGAGGGAGTGTTGCCGGATAGTAAGGAGGTAAGTTGGATGCATCTTCTGGGCTGTTCGTTGTACTACGAGGGACCTTGCACATGGTATCGTATGTATCTGCTGACCATCCAAGACATTCATGGTGGGCCGCGAGGTCGGACCCGACGATCCAGACTGCGGTTCCTTCTCCACAGGACCGAATCTCTGGCCGGAGGATTTGCAGGCAGAGCGGTTCCGTGAACGCGTCATGCAGTACCAAACACAGATGGTGCAGCTCGTGAGGAAGATACTAGACATCCTGGCGCTGGGGCTACCAAAGCAGTGGGCATGCTCGCCAGACGTGTTCGAGCCGCTGCTCAAGCAACCGTCTATTCCGATGCGGTTTCTACATTATGCACCTGTTGAGACGCAGGACGAACGGCAGCTTGGCGGTGAGTTGACGACCGATTACTTATCCCTTGTATCGTTGTGAATGGTACCTGGATACATTCTTTTGATGAAGACATCGCTCATACAAAACACACCCCACAGTCGCCGACCACACTGACTTCGGCTTGGTCTCCATACTCCTGCAAGAAGCCAAAACCACTGGTCTTCAAGTCTTCAACCCTCCATCCGCCACTTGGGTCCCTGTTCCCGCCATCCCCGACGGCTTCGTCATCAACATGGGCGACATGATGGAAAAGTACACGGGAGGGTATTATCGCAGTGCACGCCATCGCGTCATCACTAGCCGAGATCAGCATCGACATAGCGTTGCTTTCTTCTTGAATGGGAACTTGAGGTTTACTGCGAAGGCTTTGGATGGGTCGGGGGTTCAGACGTTGGTCAGAGAGCAGATTCAGCAGAGGTTGATTGAGACGATGGGCGAGACAGGTAAGTTGTTGAGACGAGAGCTTGTACAGGGCTAGTTGGTTACTGCAATGTAATTGAGTAGGGTTATCGATTACATGGTGACCATCCCATGCATCGGCCAAGCAAGCGTCGCCAACAATCAATGTGGCTGTATCCCGAATGTATGAGTGTATCGCGGTCGACTTGATAGCGCAAAATGGGGTATTAAAATTCGAGAAAATGGAATACCTAAACAAGGAAAAGGTTGATGAAAGCCTCATGATGGATTGACCATTTTGCCCATTTCCAGGCCAACATCCTCGGTCCTCATTCTCTCACCATCAGGTCCTCTCCTGCCCCCTGAGACAAGACCCCAGACCGCAACCGCAGCAACGAGGCCTGCCATGATAGCAAGAGGAATCATGAGCAGACGCTCCATGATTTCAATGTGGCATTGGCTGCCGTAGGCGTCGCTGACGACGGCGGCGCCGCGGACATCTTTCAGTTCGCATGTCCAGGTCTCAAGGTCGAAGCGGCCGACGTTGTAGCGGAAGAAGTTCTCGGAGGAGTCTGTGTCGTTCATACGCGAGGCGACAAAATTGACGTAGCCATCGCGGAAGCGCGAACTTTTCTGGTGTGTAACCCATACCGAGACAAGAGAGAACAGGATGAGGATGCTATTGGTAATATGGAGAAACATGGCGTTCCGGCGGAAGGCGTAGGCTTGTATCTAGTCACCTGTCAGCGCGTCCTGTATAGAATCAACAAGGTTCGGACGCACTCTCTTGCCATTTTTCCAGTCTAAACCTAGAAATATCAAGTGTGCTGCGCTGATGAAGATGCTGAGTACAGCCGCAATCAGGGCCATCTTTGCAGGGGCCTGTTGTAACCTTCGTGGTAATGCCGCCATGATGACCTCGACACCAGGTGCGTCATCTCTTTCTGTGGTCTCAAAGATGAAGCCTTGAGATTGATTGTCCTCAACAAAGCTATAACTGCGAGCTTCCAGAGCGACGACTGGTATGGCAATGAAGAAGAGTAGTGTGAGTGATGCGAGGTAGAAAACCCTCGCCAGTCGATGATGAGGGCAGGAGGTTGTGTTGATTGGTTTGTTGAATACGGGGTTGACTTTTGTGCTCGAATTGTCTCTGTGTAAATGCAATAATGATGAGATTTTACTTGTGACTGGTGGGACATTGAAGGTCACCCGCGTCATGGTGTTGATGAAGTCTTGGTGTATCTTGAAAGCGTGAGTTTTCTGGATTGAAAACAATGGCTTCGAAGCTAGTAGACTGTGATGATAATGTTTTTTAGACTGAACGTGGACACGTAGAGACGCTTAGAGAGAGCAAGAAGGAAAGCTTCGAAGGACGCCAGGTAGGGAAGGCATCCCTAGAGCGTTAGATATGGACTGGTAGTGGCCAGGGCTTGCCAATGACGACTATAACCACTGTAAATACTCACATTTGCATACATATGATAGCTTTTAAGAGATAATTGTCCATGCTATTGCGCCTGCAAAGGGCTGTCCCCTGTCCATGCTCGAGTATTGCTTGGACGGTGCAGCGATGGTCCGAATCCTTCTAGATGGCGCATCATGCAATCGATGGTAGACATGCGTCTGTCTTTACCGGTGATTGGTCGTGGCATAAGGCTGAGACAAACATGGTGAGAGCTTGCAACGCGCACGTGCCTTGTAGCACATGTTCTCGCACGTATCGACGATGACCTTTTAGTAGGTACTAAGAAAAGATGCTTGTGGCTGCGTGAAATTTCCAACCATTACAGTGGTCTGTTTGGATGGCTAAATGCTGAAGATGTCGACAAAATTCATTGATGGTTGCTTGCTACCGGTAGTTGACGCGGTACGGGTCCCCTTTGAGGGCTTCATGGTTGTGGGTGGAACATTGAAGCTCTGCGCTCTTCCAGTTGGCAATCGGTAGGTTTCTCGAGGTTGGTTTCGAGGTTATCATCTCAGGTACAGCCGTTGCAGGCGGGTCTGGAGATGGTTACGATTCGAACAGGGAGTTGTTGGGGTTGGGATGAAGATGCGGTGAGTGAAAGGGTTGAGAGTTGAAAGCCTGAGGTTGTGAATGTCAGGGCCAGGGTCCGAGCACCAGGCTAGTACGCAACCGGTGAATACGGCAAATACGGCAAATACGGCACGCTATACGGCGGGCACGATGCGACGCGTCTCTCGACTATGCGCCGACATTCGCTACAACCACCCGTAATCTTAACAACACCAGACCACGACAAACACACCAACCAAGTCAAGTCATGGCTTTTCCAGCCTTCAACAAGCAACCGAAGCAAGCTGCTGCGCCCGTCATTCCACTTCAACCGCCGGCTCGAACCGCAGAACCTGTTGCCCACCACCCAGAGGAAATCAATCTCGCATTCGCCAGCAACGCGGAATTGCGAAAGCGCGTGCATGATGCCATAGGCATGTGAACACCTGCCGCCAGAAACATCCAGAGGATGATTTTAACAAAGAATTTCAGACGAATATCCTGCCCAGACCACATTGTTTCGGGACATCTCGACCTTCATTCTCAATCAGCAGTCCCAGCCCGCCCAGGAACAGGAACGGGTGGCCAAGAAGCGCAAGCTCGAGGAAGCCAGCAGCGCAAGCAATGGTGCACCTGCAGCATCTACACCCGGCGACGCCAGCCTACTACTCAATGCATCCACCAAAGCGTGGCGGACGTACCCTGCCGTTAGCTTCGCCATCCCACAGCGCAAGAAGCTTACCCTCGAGCTGCTCGACGACAAGGACGGCGGGGGTATACGAGCAATCGGCGCAAATGGCACGGTCGAGTTTTCCATTGCGTGGAAAGGCGTGGACCAAGTCTTCTGCCTGCCCATTCCGGAGAAGGCCAAGAGGCAACATCATTTCATTGTGATACCTGTCAACGGTGATGGCGTCACACCGCTACCAGAGAGCGTCGTCGTAGCCCCCGAGCCTATCGTGTGGACATTCGAGGAGGCAACGGGCAAGAACATAGTCGAGGGCGAGGATCCTGGGCCTGCGCCCATGGCCGAGGCGATACATCATTGCTTGATACAGGCTGGAACTGGCAAAGAAGTCGTTTTTCCAAGTGCAGTCGAGTTTGCCAGTGCAACACCCGAGAGCCACAGGAAGGCCGACAAGGCATTCCACGTCAAGGCGCATAGAGGGAGCAAGGAAGGTGCGTACAATCCCACACATGACACCTCTAGTGAATGCGCTGACCAAACTTCCAGGCTACCTGTTCTTCACCGCTGTCGGTATCCTCTACGGCTTCAAAAAGCCCCTCGCCTTCTTCGACTTTGCCTCCGTGAACAGCATATCCTACACCGCCGTCCTCCGTAACACCTTCAACCTTGTCATCACGACACCAACACAGGAAGTTGAATTCGGCATGCTCGACCAAGCAGATTTCGCCGGCATCAACGAATATGTGCAACGACATGGGTTGCAGGATGCGAGTCTGGCTGATGCTCGTCGGGCAAAAAAGCTCAATGTCAACAAGAGTGCCAGGAAAGAAGGTGGTGTCGATGGCGCGACTGAGGCAGGTGCAGAGGAAGAGAGTGAATTGCAAAAGGCGGAAAGGGAACTACAGGATCAGGAAGATGACGAGGAAGAGGATGACGATTTTGACCCTGGGAGTGAGGGCGAGAGTGAGGGTGAAGGATCAGGCAGCGAGGATGACGACGAGGGAGGGGGTTATGACGAAGGTGATACGAACGGGATTGCAGACGAACATGGAGATGGTGAGGAAGATGATGAAGATGAGATGCAGCACTGATCGAAGGCCTTTGAAACGTACTTTGTACACGTGCTTGTTACATGTGGATGTCGGACGTCAACTTATCACGCAAACCCATCTCTCATGACGATATCATCGTAGGATCTGCCAACTCTCTACAATCTACCATGTATAAATTACGACGACTATCCATGTTCAAATGACCGTTCACAATTGTACATCTTCCGTCAGGAGCAAAGTGAGGCGCAACTTCTTATCGTTTGCGGCGACGGCGCATAGTATGGCGCTGATGACTGGAGATTAAAAGTGAATTTGCACGTGGAACTAGTCCTATGTCAAGAAGCTGCGAGCGAACCAAGCACTCAGTCAACAGAATCACAACGATTGCAACTCCCTCCTATCACCACCTTGGGCCATCCCAGCTACTGACTTGCACACCCTATCGCCCTCACTTGTCGTCATACTCCTCACATCCTCTCCCTATTTCTACGTACGTTCATCTTCCCTACGTCAAAACTCACACTCAGAAAGGAATCGCCCTCTATACCTTCTGCGAACTTACCTGGGCACCTTTCCATCTACTCGCAGCTGGTCCGTTAGCTCACATGCCCAACGCAATCTTCTTTACAGCATGCCTTCTTGCGATTTGTCTACCTATCCTAAGCGTACAAGTCCCTCGCACAACTCTCTACACACGCTATGTCCGCTCAAGACATATCTTAGAACCACGATCCCCGGAACGTGAAAACAGCGCCACAACCGCAACGACATCACGCACCAAAACCGACACGGACACAGAAATCAATACTACGATCACAGAATCAAAGTCAAAACAACACGTGCCAGACCAGCACCGCGATAAGTACCGGGCCTACATCAAATACCAGACCTCGAACTCAACCTCGATCTCGCCACCCGAGTTCCTACGACGGGGCCCCTCCTCCACGCCCCATATCTACGCCTCAGTCCCGACCCAGACACCCTCGCAAAGCCTTGACGGTACGCATACTGGAGCCGCATCAGCAGGACGCGAAGAAGGCGACGTAAGCCCGAGTCGCAAGAAGCCATGGGATCCGCCGTTTCCAAGGCGAGAAAGTGTCAAGGTGGGGAGTTGGCGGGTTCTTCCCCCTGCACCGGTGACACAAGGACAGCGCGAGAGCGGCGACATGAGTGTTCAAGAAGATGATGGTGTTGATGGGAAGTTTGATACGGAGACTGCAGACGAGGATACGAGGATGTTGAAGGCGAGTAGCGCAGATGATAAGGGTGTAGGGCAAATGAGAGGCCTGGGCCCCGATCACGCTGCCAACCAGGCGAAGAAGGCAAAGAGTAAGACGAAGGCTATGACCGTGGTATGGACCACAGCCGCGGTTATGGCGATGATTCTGTTTCTCCTGGCGTTTGCGGTGCTAGTTGCACACTGTCTGGCCTGGTTCTTGGTGTATAAGACCGAGGCAAGGTTGGGAGAGGCGAGGAGGGGAATCATGACGCGTGGGGACATGAGATTGTGTCTGTGTGCTGCCTGAGGCGTGATCGGTCGTGTGAGGGCGTTTGTTGGTCTGGGTGTAGCGGTGCCTGGGTAAATGAGAGGATCGTTTTAGCAATGCGAAGGAATGTGTGGTGTTGAAGGACGCCAACCGTCGCAAGACGTTTGAGCCCGTGAATTTAATTATTGTTGCAGGAGGGATATCAACCGGATCACGGAGCATCTTGATCCGATCAACCCTGATCAATACCCCTGTATGACCCACTATCTGATCGACTGCCAGCTCACTACCAAGTGCCTAACAAAAAGCAGGAGCTCTAGTAAGGAAGGTTTACTAATTATTCACCTTCTAGTAAGGGTAGCTGAAGCTCTATATATATAAGTACGATCGTAGTAGATACAATCTAATAATCCATCTCCCAAATCATTCCTGACCTCAGTGATCCAAATTTCCACAATTATCAATGGGACGATAATCAATCTCAAGCCTACTACCGAGGCTGCGCGCGTAACGCACGCGTTCGCGTAATGCACGGCATTTTACTAGGAGTCCTCACCAAAACTATAAATTAGAATAATACAAATATCTTTATAACTATACCCCTTATAATTAAGGTTTCTATAAATAAATTATACTTTATTTAGCTCTCTTTAATTTAAATTAGAAGGAATAGTAAAAAGTTCTTTATATTCTTAGTTATATTTAGCTTTAAAAACTCTACCTAAAATTTAGAAAACGTAAATCTAGTAGCTTTAAATAATAGAGAATTAAAATAATAAAAAAGTAAACTTAAAGCTCTTCTAATATATAGTAAAAAAATTAAAACTTTTAATTTAATATTACTAAAGATAGTATTATCTTAAAAGTATATTTAAAAATCCCGCTAAGAAAAAAAAGCTAACATTTTATCTAGTAGACTTATAAGAAATTTTCAAATACTAAAGTTACTTTAAACTATACAGTTCTAATACTAATTTTCTTTCTTTAAGAATTTACAGTAACTATTATAAATTAATCCTACTAATAAAAAAAATAAATTTCTTTAATAAATATTATTGTTGCATAAGGGATAACAATTAGATTATAGAGTATCTTAATCTAATTAATCCTAATTAATCCTAGTTAATCCTAATTGTTGCAGGAGGGATAACAACCAGATCACGGAGCATCTTGATCCAATCAATCCTAATTAATCCTACTTAATACCCCTATATAACCCACTATCTAATTAACTACTAGCTTACTACTAACTACCTAATATAAGTAGGAGCTCTAGTAAGGAAGGTTTACTAATTATACACTATCTAGTAAGGGTAGCTAAAGGTCTATATATATAAGTCTAATTATAGTAGAGATAATCTAATAATCTATCTCCTAAATTATTCCTAACCTTAGTAATCTAAATTTCTATAGTTATAAGCCTAGTTCGCGCTTTACCTTATTAAGGATTGTCCTATCTATTTAAGTATACTACTTAACTTAATTACTAAGCTAGCAAGCTCTATTATTCTATACTATTTCTTAAGTAGAAGCTTACCTATTACTCTTCTACTATAAGTAACTAAATCCTAAAGGGGGATATCCTACTTACTAGATTATCTAATTGGCCTACCTAGTATATTTAATTTAGATACCATGCCCTAACTAAAGGGATCTAGGTAGAGGTAGACCCTAATACTCTAGATACTAAAAACCACTTTAAGAATAGACCTATTAAGCCTAGCATGCTAATAGGTATTATAGTATCTAACACAACAAGCGAGTAGTATAAGCTATAAATAGCCTAGTACTAAGCTTGCACTAACTAATTTAAGCGCTGCAACACTAGCAAGATTGTAGTATAAAGCTTATCTTGCTAAGGCAAAGATAAGTAGCTAAGACGCTAATTACTAGTAGAAGGAGTGGGCAATCCTATACGCGTAAGCTAAGGTATATAACGTTCCTAATATTAAAGGATAGCTTATAGTATAGGACTATCTTAGAGCTCTATATATTATAGGAAAGTTATTTCCTAGCAGGAAACGACTCTAAAGAGGACTGTGCGCTACTAGCGTCTTGCAGGAAATAACTATGCAAGGAAAATTAAAACCTAAAACCTATTTCCTGCGACCCCTACTACCTAAAACCTATTTCCTGCAACCCCTACCTAAAACCTATTTCCTGCAAACCTAGACCTAAAACCTATTTCCTGCAAACCTAGACCTAAAACCTGTTTCCTGCAAACCTAGACCTAAAACCTATTTCCTGCAAACCTAGACCTAAAACCTATTTCCTACAAACCTAGACCTAGAACCTATCTTCTATAACCCCTACCACCTATTTCCTTATAAAAGTCCTACCTTTAGTAAAGAATTCTTCTTACACAGACTATTATTTAAGGGTGTAGCATTTATTAAAATTATTTCTATTACTAATAGAGTAATATAGAGGTCTTAATATAGATAGAGGGTTTACTTAAGGGTAATTGTAATAACTTAGGTAGGTAGGGCATCTAAAAGGTATCCTATACAACTTAAAGGTATATACGAGTGCGCGTCTATATAGAAAAGGATAAGATTCCTACACCTATAGGTCTTGTATAAAAGGATAAGAAGAACATGCCTATCCTAACTATAGGTGAGCTGTTCTCTATATATATTAGTAAGTTAGGCCTTTATTAGGCCTAACTTAGTATAAAATAATAGGCAGGTAATTCTACCTTATTATTATACTACCCCCTCCTATAGAGAAAGGATAGTCCCTATCCTTAGGATTAGGTTTAGATCCCTTATTAAAGAAAAACTCTTATAAAATAAATCTACCTTTACCTCTACCTTTACCTTTACTTCTTGTTCCTAGGGCACAGACCCCTATCCTTAGCCTACCTATAACTAGCCCTCTACCTACTAACTTTCTTATTCCTATATCCCTAATTTTTTAATTATTTAACCTAATCTATCTAAAATCTAGTAAGTATTTAATCTATATAATTAAGCAGTTACTAATCTAAATTAGACCCTTTAGCTATACTAGTACTAGTACTACTAGGAGTCCTTCCTATTACTTATTACGCTCTCTATATAAGGGCAGTTAGGGCTCTAGCTAGGGGCAAGTTTAATAATTATAATTTTAAGTTAAAGAATTCTAAGAAGTGCTAGTACTATATCTCCTAGAATAAGTATTATAATCTAGTAAGTATCTAAGTCTAATAGGGTTCCTTTACTAATTCTAGTAGATTCCTTCTTTTATTAGCCTAGAGTATTCTACCCTTAGGGGTGCTCTAGATAAGTACTATCAGCCTAGTAGCAAACCCTGCTAAAGGGGATAAGGATAAGGATACTATAGTTACTTATTAGAAGGATATTAAGTAGTTTAAGGCTACTATTTAAGAAGCTACCTAAAACCTAGCTAAGTGTATTACTATTACTAATACTTAGACTAAGGGTATAGAAGCTACTAAGATCCTTATAGCTATATATTATACTACTATATCTAATTTATATTAGCTTTAGAATAGTATTTATAAGATAGTCTTAGTAGTTAGGGGCTTAATAAAGGCTATTAATAAACTTAAGGAGGAATTAGCACTAAATTAGGAGGCAACCTTCCTAGTATAGGCTAAGATAAAGGTGTTCTATAAGAAGGAGTCTAAATTAGTCCTAGCTCCTACCTCTACTCCTGTACCTGCTCTAAACCCTGCTACACTAGTTATCTAGAAGCTAGCAAAGAAGCCTAGTCTAGGTACTATCTTAGCTAATATAGAGTCTAAACTAGGTTCTAATAGAGAGATAGACATAGATTAAAGAGGTTTCCTAGGCGTAGTGTCCTAGGAACCTTAAGGGTTCTAGGTTAGTTCTAAATAGGATATAATAATAAATAGTAATAAGAATAATAGTAATAGATAGTAGTTAATAGTATAATATATAGCTAAATAGGATATAAATTAGTTCTAATATTAGGTATAATTATTATAAAGTAATATTAGATCTTCTTTACCTTTTTCCTAGGCTTAAATCTATTTTAGTAAGCTGTGTAAGGGACCTAGCTAATTTAGATACTATTAGTAGAATACCTATAATTTATAGGGAGTACCTATAAAGTTAGAGGTAGGATACTAAATAGTATTAGAATTATATCTAACCTACTTAACCTTATATTTTAGCTTAGATTAATATAATTTGCTAGCTAGGATTTCTTCTACCTCTTATTCCTCTACACCTTATATAGGGGTACTAGGGGGTTTTAGAGCCTCTTATCTAGGTAATAGGTCTTAGGGATCTTTGTATAGTATATTAGGAGAGAAAATATTATAGATCTTAGAACTAGGTAGTAATTAGAGGTAATACGCGTTTCCTACTTATTCTAATACCTTAAAGGGACCTTCCTATTATTTAGATAGTTTTTAGCTAGGTTATAAAATAGCAAGATTAGTAGTAGATAGATAAATATAGTTACTAACCTTCTAGTTAACTAGATAGTAATAGCAATTAGTAGAGGAGCGTATTTAGTCTTAAGCTCTTTCTATATTTTCTTTAGTAATCCTCTAGGTGTTATATATCTAAGTAGTAAGGGATAAGGCGTCCTTATAGTTTAGTTTCTCTAGTATAGTAGATAGGGTCTTTTCTAGTTTCTAATACTAACTTTACTGTTAGTAAGGAACTAAAGAGGAGCTAATATAGAGCTATACTAATAGATAAATATAGAAGAGTACTTTAGGCATAGTCTATTATAGGTAGTAGGTTGCTCTAGTTATCTTAGTAATAGGATACAAAAGGCCTTAGTCTCTAATTAATATACTTATTTATAATCTTAGTTTGTCTATTAGTTTATTATAGTAGGTAGTAGAGAGCTTAACTTTAGTGCCTATAATCTAATAGAACTTAGACTAGAAACTAGATATAAACTAAGGGCCTTAATTAGAAATAATAGTATCTAGAGTATATCTAAATTAGTACACCTACTAAATAAATAAGGTAGCTATACCTTAGGCGTCTATAGTTTTGTGGCAAGGGATAGTAATAGCTTGCTTTAATAGGCGATTAATAATAACTATAATCTAATTATAACTCTATTAATCCTAGGGAAAGTCCTTAAAATTAATGCACAGGTGCTGCATTAGTAGACTAGGGATAGGAAGGGGGTGTAACATGCCTAGGAGTTAGTATTATCTTAGATACCCTCTCCTGCACAGGATACAATTCTAAATATAGCGTTTATAGGTAGTCTCTATACCCTTCTAGTAGTAATATTAGGCTAGAATCTAATAGGTTTTAGTAGCTAATAGGTAGGTAGTAGACACTTAATTATAAGCCTTACAAATTGGTCTAGTATATAGGACTAATCTAGCAGGCACGCAAAGTTAATCCTAGTAGAGAAGGAGTCTATTTTCTATCTAATAGTACTTAGGCAACTCTAATCTTTCTATTAGGAATAAGGACCTATTTTCTTAGAGAAGAGTTTTAATAAGTTCTAGGGATCTAAAAGTTATAGGGTTCTAAACTGCTATAATTAAAGTAAGGATTAGTAAGGAACGCTTAGCTAGGTAGTCTTGCGCTAAGTTAGAGTTAATTTAGGGGTGTAACCTATCTAGGGTAATTATTACTTGTAAGTAATTATCCCTTTAAGTAGTCTTAAGGTTAATTATATCCTGTTCCCTTCTACTTAGGATATTAGCTTGGGCGTTATAAGATCTAGGAGTATACTTAATTTAGAAGTTAAAGGGACTTATAACCTCTAGCTATCTAGCTTACCTAGCACTAAGGACTTTAGTAGATATAAAGTACTCTAGTGCTTAGTAGTCTGTGTATACTCTAATAAGGTGCTAAGTACTTATTAGGTTAGCACGCTATTTCTTAAAGGCGCAGATTATTATAAATAATTCTTTGTTATAGATTTCCTAGTTAAGTTTAGAACTAGTAAGGGTCTAACTAAAGAAGGATATAGGGTACTATTTCCTATTAGGATGCTCCTGTAAGAGGATAGCTATAATAACTGTTGCAGGAGGGATATCAACTGGATCACGGAGCATCTTGATCCAATCAATCCCGATCAATACCCCTGTATGACCCACTATCTGATCGACTGCCAGCTTACTGCCAAGCGCCCAATAAAAAGCAGGAGCTCTGGTAAGGAAGGTTTACCGATCATTCACCTTCTAGTAAGGGTAGCTGAAGCTCTATATATATGAGTCCGATCGTAGTAGATACAATCTAATAATCTATCTCCCAAATTATTCCTAACCTTAGTAATCTAATTTTCCACAGTTATAAGCCTAGTTCGCGCTTTACCTTATTAAAGATCGTCCTATCCATTTAAGCGTATTATTCGACTTGGACACTAAGCTAGCAAAGCTTCACTCTTTCTTTATACCATTTCTTAAGCAGAAGCTTACTTATTACTCTTCCACTATAAGCGACCAAATCCTGAAGGGGGATATCCTACTTACTAGATTAACTAACTGGCCCACCTAGTACATTCAATTCAGATACCATACCCTAACTAAAGGGATCTAGGCAGAGGTAGACCCTAAGGCTCTAGATGCTAAAAACCACTTTAAGAATAAACCTATTAAGCCTAACATGCTAACAAATATCGCGCTATCTAACACAACAAGCAAGCAGTACAAGCTCTAAATAGCTTAGTACTAAGCCCGCTCATTAGATTAGGTATTAAAGTCATCAGCAATCTAGAACCTCTTCACATAGGTTAACAACACAGTAGATTAAGGGATCCTTACCCTAGCCTATATAGAGCTTGTTAATTAAGGAAGAGTAACCCTCTAAGCACTTATCCAAGTGCTCTGCAATAACCTAGCGCTAACTAATTCAAGCGCTGCAACACTAGCAAGATTACAGTACAAAGCTTATCTTGCTAAAGCAAAGATAAGTGGTCAAGACGCTAATCGCTAGCAAAAGGAGTGGACAATCCTATATGCGTAAGCTAAGGTATACAACGTTCCTAATGTTAAAGGACAGCTCGCAGTACAGGATTATCTTAAAGCTCTATCTACTAGGATCTCACTAGATTAGGGTTAAACTATGTTTCAAAGGATTATTAAAAAGTTAGTGATAGGAGAGCTAACATACAACCTCCCGCAGGTTGCTAAGATCTATTTATTACTTCTCTAAGAAAACAACATAAGATTAAGCTCTAGGGGTCCTGGAGTATTTGCAACAATAGGAGCTCCACCTTCTAATTAACTAAAGAAGGAGTCTTTATGCCTATGCGGTAGATCTCACCTATAGAAACCTCCTAAATGCAAAAACGTTATTGAAGCTTAGACTAATATAGGTGACAAGCTTACTACCACTTAACAATTAGAGATTAAGAAAAGGATTAATAGGAATTAAAAATTCAAAGAGTTAAGGAAAGCTCTAATTAAGTCCTATCCTATCAATCAAGATTATAGTGGTGAGGCAAGCACGATTACCTATCTAGGCAGTATCTAGGTGGCACTAATTAACCCTATGTTAATAGCGGAGAAAACGAACAGGATCTATTCAACTATAGACTTTAAAGCTCACGCTCTATTAAAGAGCACTATCTTTAATAATAGAGGTGCAGTGCACCTAGTTAATAATATAAGCTACCTAGAAGAAAGCTTGTTTAGATTAGTTAAATATAAGACGGTTAAAGCAGGAACTTAAGCTTTTCTAATCTTAGGCAGAGGGACTAGAGTAATCCCTAATGCTCTTAATAGACCAAGAGGTCCAAAAACAGAAGATTTGGTGCTCACCGACGTAGTGTTAGTAGAAGGTTTTTATGTGAATATTATATCAGAAGCTTAATTGCTTAAAGCAGGAGTTTGGTTCCTTAGGCTAGATGCCACCTTACGGTTTAGATTATTAGAGAAGAGCGTTATATTAGCCAAGTTACTGCGCAAGTTTAACTTAACTTTCCTAGAATACAAGCCCTCTACCCCTTATTAAATAATCCAAAGCATGGTGCCTAAACAACACTAACAATCCTAGACAACTCACCTAAGACACGACAGTGAGGAGCTTTAGCACTAATAATTAGGCTATTTAGGACCTAAGGCGCTTAAAGCTCTAGTTAAGTTAGCAATAAACGTTAGGATTAAAGGAACTCCTAGGAGCAAATGCGAGCACTGCGCTATTACACATGCCTAACAGGTTATATTAAGACAACCAAGGGAAAGATCACTACGTCTATACTACTAGGTATTATAGGATCTATTTAACATGCTAACAGGTATAGCTTACAAGCAATAGATCTTGGTATTAAAGTGCAACTACTTAGGAAAGCTTTATACCTATCCACTGCAAGCCAAAAACCTTAATAAGATTATACAGGTGTTTAAAAATTTTAAGAGCTTAATACTTAACTAATATAAGCTTAGCATAGTTAAGATTATACAAGATAACAACGTTGCAACGCTCCCTTAGCGTAGCGAATCTCGCTTTTAGATCTAGGCAGCTAACAATAGTATTAAAATTAAGAGCTCACCCGTATATACCCATGAACCTAATAGAGGAGCAGAAAGAGCAGGGCAAGAGATTATAACGAAATTGATCAAAATAAGGATTAGTGCTAACCTACTAACAAAGCTCTAGCCTAAAATTATTAAAGCAGCAACTTGGCTCTACAATATAAGCCTGTCTTATGCTCACGATATAATATTACCTAATAAAGTGCTAGATCGTTGGTTTACTAGATACTTTAGGTAGTAGCAACTAGAGCAGATAAGGGAGGCAACTGCTAATCTCCGCCCTAATTAGAGCGGAATATACGCCTATAGCTGTCAAGCTTACCCCCTTAACCAAGATTAAGCAGCCAGGCGTCACAAGAGGGTTTTTAAGGTGAACCCTTAGAGTTATATTAGATATCTAGTAGGATACAGAGCATCTAACATATATAGGATATGGATCCCCTTGCTTAATTAGATTATTATAACGCAGAACGTTACCTTTAATAAGGATCTTTTCTATAAAGAGAAAGATCTAGAGCAGCTTTAATAGTTAGAAGCTTAAAAGATAGTTAACGTTATTAGCAAAGATAAGATCCGTGATGCAGAAGAAGCGTATAAAGAGCTTAATATCTTTAATTAGCTTCGTATTGCGGCAGAGCAACATAAGGAGTCTAGTGAGTAAGGAGGACTAAACCTAGCGCAGGAGCTAGGGGGTAGGGTAGAGCTAGAGGAGGTAGATAATTAGGCTAGCTAGCCTAGTGATTCACAACCCCCTAAGCAGACACCTCTAGCGTGGGTACTAAGCACAGCTAGCTTAGCACAAAGGATCTATACAAAGTCCCCTAAGCTAATAGGGCTCTAAACTCCTAAACTAACACTAGAACTAAACTTTAGTATAGGATACAAAGGATCTATGTAGGTTATAGATTAGGGTCTTACTACCTAAGATAGTAGTGATCTAACTTACTTTAACGCCACGATAGGTAGCTCCTAGGAAAGACCTAGAGGGGAGAGTGCTATTAATAGGTCACTCTATAAGAGCACAGAGATGGGTAAGGGCACCCTATCTAGTTCTTATAGGGGTGGTGAGCAGAGCTCCTGCCCACCCGCTTTAGGACTAGATTCTGTATCTCCTGCAGATCCCTCACAAGCGGCACCTAGAGCTCCTAGAAAAAGCAGAAAACCGCGAGTTAAAGGACTGCCACTAACGCGTGTTAGTAAGCGAGCTTAGGGACAGGACCCTAATAAACCACTAGGAGGCTCCACAAGTGCGGGGATATACATAGTGATAGATCTATTAGATATAAATCTAATTAGAAATCCCTTGCACAATCTTTTAGTACATCCTAAACTAAATACTACAATCCACGCTGTGATTGCAGCAGCAATAGGGAGTAAATCCCCTAAAAACCCCAAAAGAAATACGCACTAGGACGCTCTACAAAAAGAGCTAAAACAATAGAAGGATCTCTATAACCACTAAATAGGACAGCAATTCAGAGACGCAGCATATAAAGAAATTAATACTCTGCTAAAAGCTAGTACCTAGGAGGAGATCAATAGGCTAAATACAGGAGAGCGTCTACTCCCACTTAAATAGGTGTTTATATACAAGCTTAATTAGGATAGTTACCTAATTAAGTGCAAAGCAAGGATAGTAGTAAGAGGAGATCTACAGCTCACTAACTTAATTTATTCAACCTACGCAGCTACCCTAGCAGCTTGAACCTTCAGGACTGCAATAGCTATTAGAGCCAAGTTTAACCTTAAGATATATTAATATAACGTTGTTAGAGCTTTCCTTAACGCCTTAAGAGATCAACACCCTACAGTTATCTGCAAGCAACCTAAAGGATATTAAATACCTAGGAAGTGCGTTAAGCTTAAACGAGCTCTATATAGACTAAAAGACTCACTATTATTATAGTACAATAAGCTCTTAACTACACTCTAAGAAAATAAGCTTATTGCTTCTAAAGAGGAGCCATGCCTATTCTTTAACAGAGATCGCAGTATCTTGTTAATATTCTATGTAGACGATATCCTATCGCTCTATTACTAAAACTACGCAAGCCAAGCTCACAGAGTTATCTAAGCTCTAAAGCAAAGATATAATATAGAGGAAAAGGGACCTATAAGCTAGTTTCTAGGGGTAAGAGTAATCTAGGATAGAAAGAGACAGACAATAACGCTTGTTTATAATAAATACATTAACAAGATTGCAAAGAAATTTAATCTAGTAGAGATAGGAAAATTCCCTGCTACACTACTATTAAGTGAAGACATTAAAAAGAGCACAGGAGAAGCCACTAAAAAAGAGATCAAGGACTATCAGGAGCGCGTTAGATTAATCCTTTACACCTTAATTATAGTGCGCCCTAATATTGCCTATACAGCCTCCTAGCTCTCCTAATACCTTACTAACCTATCTAAACAACACTTTAATGCGGTTAATCGAGTGATCGTCTATCTATACTAAACTTAATACTAATTAATCTAATATAGGAATAGGGATCCTAATAAGCTTATAATATGCAGTGATACGTCATTTGCTAATAATATTAATACTTAGCGATTATTATATAGATACCTAATCACGCTCTTTAGAGGACCTATTATTTGGAAGGCAGCTTAATAAGCAACTGTTACCACTTTAACTACTAAGGCAGAGCTCCTTGCGCTTAAGCAAGTAAGCAAAGAAGCAATAGCGTTAAAACGCTTTTTAACTAAAATACATCTTACTTTAGATACTACCTAGACGATTAATTGTGATAATTAACAAACTATTAGGTTAGTAGTAGGCAACAATAAAAGGATCACCACCAAGCTGCGCCATGTGGATATTTAAAACATGTGGCTTAGGCAAGAACATACAAAGGGATCTTTCTACATTGCCTACCTACCTACTAGTAATATGCTAGCTAATAGGCTTACTAAAAATCTAACTGCACAACAATTTATAAGGTTTAGGGAGCACCTAAAGTTATATAACAGCAGAGCACAGATTATATAGCGTTAATTAAAGTAAGGTAGTATACAAGATCTATTAATATATAATACAAGAATAACTAACTATAGCCTACCTCTCTATTATTAACTAGGTAGCTTCCCTAAAGAGCTCTATTACGCGCGTAAAGCGTGCCTTAGAGTCTATAGGGAGCCGCCTAGGTTGCCCTATCCTAGGATCCACAGGGGGAACCTTAGAGGAGCTAGAGTCCTTATCTTCTAATAAGGAGCTCTAGGCGCCCTTAGCTGCTAAAGCAGCCTTGCGCGCAAGCTTGGCAGCAGCAGCAGCAGCTTTTACTAGCTCCTACTACTTAGCCTTGCTCTCCTTAAGGAGCACTAAGACCCTCTACTTCTTATCCTTAAGAAGGTCTTAGCTCTTACCTGCCTGCTTCCTTGCTAGGAAAGACAGCGTAGAACGTTAGGTAAGCTTAGGGCTATTAGTTTATTAGTATAAGATCTTGCTAAGCGTTATAAAGGAAAAATTCTTGTATAGATTATATATATTAGGACATAGCTATACCTAGAGGAGCACTACTAGCACTAAGTCCCCCTACTAGAAGAGTTATAGCACTTGCTATTAGACTTGTTAAAGAGCGCTAAGCGCAGACAATTTAGATAAGTTTTAGCATGATAAATGCTAGGCTCTCTGCAGCAGGAGGATCTTAGGGTCTCCTTAGGAGCTAGAGAGGGAGCAGGAGCGGGGACAGGGGACAGGGTCTAGGGAGGAGCGGGAGCTAGAGTTAGAGCTAGAGTAGTAGGAGCTAGAGCAGGAGCGCTCTTCCTTAGCTTCGCGATCTTAACCGCAGTAGCAGTAGCCACGTGCTTAGCTACTACACACTCCGCGATAGCCTTACGCTTAGTAGTAGCGCGCTCTTCTTTAGTAGCAGCAGCTTTAGCAACTGTAGCTTTAGCTACGCAGGAGGCGATAAGGGCAGCGCAGGTAGAGCGAGCGTAAGCAGCAGTTTTTAACTTTAACTAAGACATAGGTTAGTAGGGATATAGGCATAGTTTAGATCTTTAGGGTTGTATAATCTTATAATACAGGCTATAGTAAAGATTATAGTTAGGTAGATAGAGTTATAGAGCTAAGTCTAGGTAATATCTACGCGCGTAAGCGTAGGCTAAACAAGGAAGGCGCGCTAGTTAGTATCTAAAGGGTAAGCTAATTTAACCCTTTAGATATACAACGCTCTAATTAGCTACACTACCTACTAACTATAAGCGCAACCACAACAACAAAAGATCTACCTATACCTAGGGGGTGTGTTGCAGGAGGGATATTAACTAGATCACGGAGTATCTTAATCTAATTAATCCCGATTAATACCTTGTAAAAAGACGGCCAAGTAACTAACGCTGCCATGCGAGAGCTTAACTGACATGACATAAA